CCTACCTTCAAAAAAAAAAAAAAAAAAAAAAAAAAGGGTTTTTTTGCTTAATCTGGTTTTCCGGTTGCCCCCCTCCCACTGATCCGGATCCGGGTGGACCGGGGTGAGTCAACCGGCCGGTTCCCGACCCAGCCCTGGTTTCAAGTAATATTCAGGCCCGCCTTCACTTAGGGTACTTGGCTTGTTGGGGGCCTCTGCCCATAACATGTGCATGTCTGATAAGGGCCCCGCGAGGGCTCATTCCTTGCATTCCATCCCCCTTAGCTTCGAAAGTCCGCTGAGATGCTTCATGTTGGCGCCTTCCCTTTCAACTTCCTTTCATACTCGGCCACAACCTGAGGAGTTGTCTTGACAAGTTCCTCCCTAGTAAACCATCGATCTTCCTTGGGATCAGTGTGATGCCTGAACCGTACTCTATACTCTCTCACGGGCTTAGGCGGTCTACCCCTGCCAGCTGGCTTGGGAACAGGCATGTCTCTGTGCTCCATGATATCGTCGACGTCCAGTGACCATCCATGGCAAGGGGCAGCATAGATCTCCTTGATAAGAACTGTTCTGTCTCAGCGAAAGGTGCAAGCTTTGAGGCGTGAAACAAAGGGTAAGTGCGTAGGTGACCAGGGATACGAATTACATATGAGGGACCATCTTCTTCACTACCCACAATATCCAAGACTTCCCAAAGACCGAAATATTGAGCCATTAGTTTTTTAGAGATGTCGAACTCTTGTCCCAACTCACTAGCCTTGACCTAGATAGGTCCCCCTACCTGAAATGTGGACTGTCGACAATGCTTGTTATCAGAAGCAATCATTGCTTCTTGAGATTTCTTGATGTGTTCGATAGTCTGCTGCAACAGCTTCTCGTACTGGACATCAAACTTGATGGTTCCAGGGGTTGCATTAGTTCGGTTTTTAGGCAGGAGGAAGTCTAGAGCAGATCTAGGCTTCCACCCCAGATGTAGCTGATCAGGACTGACGTCGATGGTGCTATGTACAACATTGTTGTACAGACTGGCAATGAGAGGTAACTTCTCATCCCAGTCATCCTCGCTGGGTTTGATATAATGCCTCGGTAGATGCTGCACCACACGGTTCATCTATTCAGCCTGCCCATTGGCTTCAGGATGATTCCCAGAAGTCATCTAAAGTTGGTTGCCCATCTGTTTAGCGGCCTTCTTCCACATGTCACTGGTCAACCGGACATCTCTATCACTAACAATGGTCTTAGGCAGTCCAAAATCACACACCCAGTTATCCATGAATAACTTGATGACGTGCTCAGTCTTGGCAGTCTTCGATATGGCAATTAGTCTAGCATACTTAGTGAACCTATCCACTATGACAAAGATATGCCTTTTGTCATTCTTGCCGGTGACGAGAGTATCCATGAAAATCCACTATGACAAAGATATGCCTTTTGCCATTCTTCCAGGTTACGAGAGTATCTATGAAATCCATGGAAACACTATCTCCTGGAACAGCAGGAATGGGTAGAGGCTTTAATAACCCAAGCGGTGCTCGAGTTTGCGGCTTGTCCCGATGACAGACTTGACAAGTGTGCATGTATTTCTTTGCATCGTCAATCTGGTAGGCCACCAAAATCGTTGCAAGTCAAATTGTAGCCAAAATAACCTGTTGCGTCATGACATTTTCCTAAAAATAAACTAAGCAAGACTTCCCTAGATGGAACTCGTAACCGTTTGAACCCAACCTTCTCAAGAAGAGCAGCCCGTCCACCATCACAAACTGATCAAAGGTGGCCTTATCTTGGGCCTCAAGTTTGTGGATGATGTCCATCGTGACAAGGTCTTCCTTGTAGGCTTCCACCAAGGATCGAGATACATCGTTATAAACCAAACTTCGTGATCAGCGCAGGCATGTAGTATGCCCTACGTGACAACGCATTAGCAACCTTGTTATACTCCCCTTTCACATAGTCTAGCTTGAAGTCATACTGATCTATGACTTCAATGGAGCGTTTGAGTGCACTGGAGAGAACCGGTTGCGTCTTCATCCACTTGAGTGTTTGATCTAATGCGGTTTTGTGTCGGTCTTCTGGTCTAATGGCAATGGTAGTCGGACTTCAAGTCTATCTTAGTGAAGTACTTACATCCCTGCACCCTGTCCAATAGGGAATTGGCGTTCGTAACAGTGATGGCATTGAGTCCCTTATAATCAATGCACATCCTTAGTGATCCCCCCTTCTTCGGTACAAATAGAACTGGTGAGCTGAAAGGGGAGATGCTAGGCCGAATCCAACCGTTTTCTGTGAGCTCTTTCGGTTGCCGCCAAAGCTCGTCCAACTTGGCCGGAGCCATCCTATAGATTCTCCCTTTGGGTATCTTGCTCCCAGGGATGATTTCCATGGCATGGACAACCTCCTTGTCTATAACACTTGTGGGCTCCTCAAACAGTACTTAGCAACGACACTCTCTATCTCTTGGGGTGCCTCCCCGTTCTGAGAGACAAAGACCAGTACGTAACCTCCTCTTGGTTCTATTTATAATAACTATAGAAGGCCGATGCGCACAAACACCCGTAGTTAACGGTCCTCCCATTAGGCAGCTCATGCTTTGGCACTTTATTGTCCCAATCAAATTGGGGCTTTAACTAGGCACAAAATCTTATGATCAAGTTTTCCTCCTGTATAGGAGGAAGTGCAGACTACATCCTTGACGTAGTCCTCCAGTAACATGCGCTTTTTGTTGGCCAAAGTAGATGCTACCGGTCTACTCAGTTGCTGCACCCGGTCCTGTAGGCGCAGTCTCTCAACGTAGTCACGACTTATGAAATTTCCCGTGGAGTCTGTCTACGAAGACACCGCACTTGGGGTCACCTACACCAACTTCCACAACAAAGTGCTCCCCTATAGGACCTCGACTTAAAGCCACCCAGGACTCGTGAGGGTCCCTTGCCGACCACTCACTTTGTAGGTCCTCTAAGGCCTCAGACCCATCCAATGAGCAGAATATCGTTGGGTCGGGATGCGTATGTGGGGTGACTAACGAGTCGATAGCTTCGACCAGCTCTTGAAACGGGGAGGGTACATCACCCGTTTCAACATGAGTAGAAGCAGCTACAACTTCTATTGACCCTATGTGTTTCCCGAGCCGGAATGCATAGAGGCACCACTTTGGGAAGAAGGAATCCCACCTTTAACTAGTATCTTTTGCGAGACCTTTGCGTTCTTGCATTTGAACTGTTGATGGCCATACTCGCCGCAGTAAATGCAAGCACCCCGCGTATAACGGTCCCGCCACACATCTTGATCCAAACCTACTCGAACCCAAGCCGCTATCTTGTGCGGGTTCGGGGTTTGCCCCGGACTCCTTCATTGACCGCCCTTGCCGCGACCACCTGCCATTCCTTTGACTACTGCAGCGAGGTTGTTACCCTCAACATTATCCTCGTTGTCCAACTCTGAACCATCCACAAGGTCTGAGAAATCCTCGATCTCAGACCGAGTACCATCTGCCTTGACCATCATCAATCGACTCCCCTTTTTTTTTCATTCTTGTGGACTCTTCTTTCTTCCGTTCGTAGGGAGTTGTTGAGCACCTCCTAGCATGGCCTCTAAATCTAAAGCCTTTTTGCTAAAAATCTCAAAAGTGTGATACTCTAGTCGAGCTTCATTCTCTAATCAGTTCTTGATGTTTGTGGGAAGACACCTCAAGAACATGGTCAATAAGACCTGTGGATTTTATTGTACCCTTGGAACGACAATCAAACGCTTTATAGTAGAAAAAAGCCGGTGCGTAGACTTGCACTTTTTAGTGTCAAGTTTCAGCAACCCATCAGTGGCATCTTGTTGTGGGTTGTGCCATCGCGCTTCCACCAAATCCATAAAGCTCTCTAGGGTATGGGTCTTAGCCCACTCACCCGACAGAAGGTTAACCGAGCCCCCAATTTTCACCCCCATGGGGGTACCTGTTAACCATTTGTGAATCACCCATATTCCTGTCGAACCCCTTTGAGGCAACCAATCCGTTTAACCAACGAGTTGTCGATCCCTCCAAATAGGATGCAGCAGTTATCACTTCCTCCTCTACCAACGTCCATTTCGCCCTCACCCACACTGACACCGTTCTCAACCAAGTGTCGAGAGCCTCATCCTTTTTATCTCCTAAGAAGGTTAGGGGTGGTTTCAATGGGGTCTTGGGGTACCAAGGTTGTTGATGTCCCGCTGGTTGGACAGGTGGCAGTTGTGGTGTAGCTCCAGCCGTTGGACCAGAAGATGAAGAAGCATCAGCCTGTGTTGCTGTTGCTGAAGTACCGCTTGGTGTGGTACCATACTGTGACAGATACGGGCATGTCATCACCGAGAATGGCGGCGATGGGAAAACTGCTGGCCCGACTCATGGTCCACGCATGGCATTCAAGATCTGGTCTAGGGTGTCTTGGATAGCGTCCAGTTTGCTGTCTATGTATGCGTGCATGGACAGGATACTCACCTTGAGAATCTTTGTGGTGTTGTCAAGTGTCAAGTCATCTAACCCTTCTAAAGCAACTTTGTTTGCTGCCTTACCCTCCCGTCTAACATTGGAGGTAAGGGATGGAGGGGTCATGCTAGGAGTGTCGTACTTTGACGATGAAGGAGAGAGACCCTTCATCATCGAGGCCGATGGCGGCCCTATAGCTTTAGGGGGAATACTTGTGCAGTGAGATGAGAATGGTAAAGAGAGATCACTTAGGTTCGAGAGCCGCACCCTAAATTCGGTTGAGAGAGGTTATATTCAGTTCAGGAAGGAGCTTTTGGCGATCCTGCACTGTCTCAAAGTGTTTAGACACTAAGTCATGGGACTAAGGTTCATTCTAAGAACGGACTCTACGGCGGTCATTGGAACCATTAAGAGGCACCAACAGGCAGATGTTACGGTCAGTAGGGTGGATAACTCATATATATGGACGTATAATCTCGTATTAGAGAAGATGCCTACTGACAAGAACAGAGCTGATGGGTTAAGTCGCATGGGGGTCAATAGATGAGGAAACCTTTGAGGAGGCGCCCTTCGTCGACGAGTTTCTTATGGAAGACGATGGCGGAGGGTTACCTCCTGCCCCCAGTTGTTATTTGGCCTCAGCCATGACAACTAGTAGGGAGGACTGTTGGGAAGGAAAGGAAGATCCCTACCTCCATTACCTCTTGACCCAAGAGGATGATGAGGAAGGGTGGTATGGGATGGTAGAACAAGCCGCTGTCGCAGCCCATGAGTTGGCTGAGAGTTCGAAAATGGTTGGACGTCGTGGGTTGGATGAGTTGGAGCAAAGTGAGGACATTGAAGGAAAGTTCGGGAAATAAGAATATGATGGAGGATATAAGAGGATTGGTGTGGTAATGAACAATAACCAATTGGACGACTTCTACCATGAGAGGACAAAAAGGACTTTAGGCTACTTAGGGGTCACCTTTTTAAAAACGATGCTAAGGAAGGTCTGTTGCCGCTGAGAGTGGTGTGGGGTAAGGAAAGGTAACTAGAGGTGATCGTTGCAATACATGAGGGTTTGGCAGGGGGTCGTAGGGGTGCGGATGCTACGCACTATAAAGTATGAGGTACTGTAAGTCATGTGAAATCTGTCAGAAAAGATCATCTATGAGATTGATTGAACCCTTATACTCCACTGTTCTTGTTGAGCTTGGTAGTATTGTTCACCTTGATCTAATTACTATGCCACTTGGTAAGGATGGGATGAAATATCTACAAAACATGAGAGAGAATGTCTGGTTATGTTGAAGCTAAAGCAATCCGTAAGAAAACCGCAAAGGCAGTGGCAGATTGGATCGAGGAAATCTACTTGAGGTACCCTTTCATGCGTGAGTCCGTGGCTGATGATATGTACTGGGACATGGCCCGTGCGCCGCCATTTGCTGCTGATAGTCGACTTGACATGGTTATGGATGATTATGTTATGATTTCAGAAGCCGGAGATGGGTACGAGCACCCTATGATGGCTCGACTCTCAGAGGTAGACTCGGGTTGTCTACCAAACCCAGGTGTTCCCAGGGATTTATTGGCCATCATTCAACGGTGGACTCATGTGTTTGTCGTGCCCAAATTGACCCAATTCTTAAATTTCAGTTCCTTGCATTATATCTGGCTTGTCACGTGTCGAGTCATGGGGGTATGCCTGGGGGATTGGGAGCCAGTTCATGGGATTTCAATTCTTGCCTCTGGTTGTATTTTATTGGTTTGAATGACATTATGGCGATGTTGAATGAATGGTTGTGGGGTAAAGTGAAAATATGTTTTCTTCCTTTTATAAGTCGGCGCTCAATTGATGGGGCAACCTTTTTGTACGATTGCGTCAGGACGATTGCATCATCTGGCATGAGCTGATTGGTTTATCCCTGAAAGAGGGTGGGGCTTGACCAAGTGAAGTGTTCCGGTGGCAAGTGGCTCGACATCGTCGGGATGGGGTTCCTCTCCAAATGGGCCTTCATAATGCGGCACTACCAGACTCTGAAGGGATAGGTAGTCAGTCGAGTATCATAGTCGATGGAGTGATCTGTCCGGCCTATATGGTCGAGGCGAAGATCACTTAGCATCGTAGCGGATCGGAGCTTGTTGCATTCTTCGTAATGGAAGGAGTGTTCTCGCTGCAGCCACCAGGTTTTCGCAACGGTTCACCGACGAGAATTTAACCACTGTGGCATTCCCTGCGGTGTCATTACATACGTCCTTCATGAAGGGGTAGAGAGTTTCGACTGCGCAAGAGATGATTCCTTGAGTCAAGATTTCACAAGTTCAGAGGCTAGCTGGGTTGACGGAGCATCCGAGCCACCGTGGCTGACAGCTTCGAATGCTCGAGTGGCTAGCCGTTCCTGGGTTGTCGCGTGGTGATCTGGTCCGCCTGCTGGAAAGCAACGAGGCATCCTGAGCCTCTCCCAGTCAAAATCCGACAAATGGCTGATCAAGGGTGGTACATCTACTATCAGTCTAATCGGGGTGTCTCTCGGGAGCAGTGTCCCCAGGGGCATTCCCTTGGCGCCGGGCCAAGCCATTATCCACAACCCAGTTGGCAACAAGGCCATTATGGCCTCCTAGCCCACTGTTGCAAAGCTTAAATTGTGGACTCGCTTTGACTTGCCAGTACGGTCTGGTTGGGTGTTAGCTGGCTCCCTGCACACGAAGCAAGAGCCGAGCGTTAGTCAAGGATTCAACCGAGCAGATGGAGCTCTGATGTCGACTAATGACCTTTCATACCATGGGTCTGCACTCATCGGAGTGAGGGCCTCACGGAGCGTGCGGCTCCTCGTGAGCTATTTTGAGCAATGGTTCAGAGGGTGGTCGGACCGCCTTGACTGGGAATCAGGATAGACTTTGCTCTGCTTGTCGGGTTGGGTCAGCGGGGACCGCCATGACTGGGAATCAAGACTGACTTTGGTCTGCTTGTCGGGTTGGGTCAGCGAGGGAGCCCACCAGGGTGACCAGGGGCACTCTCAGAAGGCCTAAGGGTAAGACTCTGAGGGTGAATGAGGAAGGGGTGTTGGCAAGGGTTTTTAGGGGAGGTTGTTTTCTTGTTTTTCTTTTGGCATGATCTGACCTTTATTTTGTAGGTACCCTACAGCCAGACGAATACAGCGGGGTTTGGTCTGACCCGACAGTGAGCGGTATAGAGCCGACAGACGAATAGAAAGGGGTTTGGTATGTTTCCCCCTTATGAGGCAGCCTTTGGTCAAGATGACAAGGATGATCCTAGGTTCGATAATTGGTCCCATATCCGCCTGTGGCTGAACTGTGACTGAGATGCTGACGAGGATTATGTTGTGCTGATTGTCTGCATGCTTGAGTCGGACTTATTCGATGATGTCGAGATGTGCAAGTCAGGATTGAGATAGGGCAGACCTGACGAGGGGTCTTGTCTAAGATTGGGACTGATTCCGATAATGTTGAGATAGGCCGGGACTAATATTTGGATTGCTAGGCCAAGCCTAATGAGGGGTTTGACCTAAGATTGAGTCTGATTCAATGATGCAAGGAAGCGGGATAGGTAACGAGATAAGGCTGCATGAGCGGTTGTGATTTGATTCAGCCGTGAAATGATATTTGCATATGGTGGTCGCACTGCGCAGGACTGATGAGACTTATCCTTCTTTGATTTTGATGGTGGCTCGGACCAGAGGCCATGCCTTATTTAGCGAGCACTCAAGCCCTAGCGGGTGAGCACCCTGATGAATAGGTGTTATTTTATGTAACGTCTCTGTATATTAAGTAGCAGATGAATCCACATAACTTGATTTGGCAGATAAAGAAGAGAGCAGGCGAGACACACAGGTGGTGATCGGATGGTGTTGCTTGGTGCACAACGGGTGGATCCGGCGCACGTGGCGGCGGCGGCGCCGCAGGGTGAGGTGGCTGCGGAAGGACAACAAGTTGGTGAGGGTGAGGTTGAACAGAGGAAGGAGGATATGGTGGAAAGTAAGCCCTTGAGGCTGGCTCGAATTGAGGAGGTGGGGCACCGTAGTGCTGCTCATATTTATACGCATAGTATGCCATCCTTCTCGGTGACGACGTGCGCTTGCGCTAGCCATCTAGACGGCGACGCAGCCTTACCCCTTCCCATCTCTCCTCCTCTTCTTCTTCCTCCTCCTCTTCTTGCCTCTCCCTCTCACACGTTAGGTCTATTGGCTGATCGGCCGTCTTCCCCTGACGACCTCCTCTCCCTCGTCCAGCACCCGATCCGCACGCCTTCGGCGGCATGGCGAAGGCGAACTACTGAGTGGTGGTAGCGTAAGTGCAGCGAGAGCACAAGTGAGCAGAGAACGGTGAGAGCGGCGGTAGTAGCGAAAGCTCGTTAGCGTTGCGCACCCGCGTGAAAGAGCTCATAAGCGAATGACAAGAATAAGCGAGCAATCAGTTTTATAACAGCGAGATCCTGGCAAGGACCCCACGAATGGGGTTTGGTATGGTTGTCGGAGGCCGACGCACCGTGTCAACTTGACGCAGTCAGCCTACGCGCGTGTCAAATCTATGCCAAGGGCTGCCCGCGGCTATACTCAAACAAGCGCAAGCGTGTTGGTTAATTCCTTGGGGCCGAACCTATGGAGAAGACGGTGCGGCGGTACAGCCCTTATGAGGCCTGATCGTTCCCTTTGGACTGGACCATCACGATCGCAAGGGTCAAATTAGTAAGGTCCGGTCCAAGTGGCACTTGAAACGGACCAATGTGATCGCGTAACTTGGTCGGAAAAGGGACAGCCCCAAATGGCCATGTAAATGAATAACTGGGCCCTAGAAATAATTAAAAGGGGTCACGTGCTATTTTAAGTGCGGGACTGACTCTTCGTTTCCCAAAGTCAGGCTTGCCCCGGTCTCATGCTAAAATTAGCACAATCCCACGCTATTTTTAGTGTGGGACTGACTGTTTGACTACTTGGGACTGGCCTGCCCCAAAACCATGCTAAAATTATCACAGCCCCACACTATTTTTAGCATGGGACTGACTGTTCGATTACTTGCGATTGGGCCTGCCCTTGTCTTGTGCTAAATTTAGCGCAGTCCCACTCTAATTTTAGCGTGCGACTGACTGTTCAACTACTTGGGACT